ATGCTTTTGAGTGCTACGAAGAGTGCTGAGCGATCCACTGAGTTAAGGACCGACGTGGTCTACGTAGGCCACATGCAACGGCCGGTTGAATTCCCGGTGTATCTCTGATAATAGTCTTAACGCCAAAAGTGCGTCCACTGTCGAGCGACCGGTGATGAAGCCAGATTGCTGTTGGCAGTGACATTTGGCGAAAAGTGGATTCAACCCGACCAGCAACATACGCATGAAGACCTTGTTGCACGCTGAAAGGAGCGATATTGGCCGATAGCTACTGCATCCCGTTTTTGACTCATTGCCATTGTACAGTGAAACGACGACTGCATCCTTCCATTTGCGTGGCACGCAGCCTGTGCTCAATACTTTCAAGAATAAGTGGAGGAGTCCTGTACTGATTGACACGATGGTGCCTTTCAGGTTCTCCGGGGATATGAAGTAGGGACCGGCTACTCGACAATTTATGAGTTTCCGGATAGCTGCAATGACTGACTTCAGCCAGCATAGGATGGTAGGTGTCGGTTTCCGGATACGGGCGACAGTGTCGCTTAATTCTTGACATGAATCATCTGCAGCAAGGATCTTAAATGAATCACTGTGCTCAAACCATCTGATGATACTTCGACAACTGAACATTTGATCGCTACCGCGTTTGGGCGCGCGATTCTCCCTGAAAGGAATTTGATAGTTATATATGCTGGAGTCAGGTTATTACTGCCGCATGTCTTCATGTGTCTCCCCTGCTAGTCTGTTGCGTTATGCCTCGCGGTCTGCCTTGGCATTCCCGATTATGCGAGATTCAGCCTTCGGTAGTAACAGGACGTCGAACGTCTCGTCGAAGAGCTACACCTGCTTTGTTTCTGTTCTAGGCCAGCCGACTTGTTTGCGGACCTCGTTATGGACGTGTGGAGATTATCCCAGATGTTGTCGACGTCATCGGAATCGATGGAACCCATTACTCAAGAGGTGGGGTGGGGGTTCCGATGTTGATGGCGTACGCCTCAGCTACGTGGCTGTCCTGCAGAAAGCGGTCGCAACTGTGTCGTTGGTTCAGCGTGGTAGATTTGAAACAGCTCGGTGATAGGAAGCGGATTTTGCCATAACTAATCGATGGCTAGTGAGAGCAGGTGCTTTTACTCCGCGGTAGACTTTGCAGCTCTTTACCATGCCTCTATCTCTGTGTCGAGTCAGGATGATTCACTTTCATTGGAATATCAAGTCCACCGATGAATTCTATGGCAATGTAAACACGAGTTCATCACTGAAACACCGACAGTTGCAGTGAGCATGAGGGGGAGGATGGAGATCTCATTTACAGCTCCGGATCCGAAGTTCCATGTCACCAATTCTAAGTTGGACCGGTCTTCACTTCGGCGTTGAGGTCGCGGGGAAAAGTAGTTCATAATATGGAGCAACGGTCATTAGGATGGATTACAGTTTGTGATATTCCTTGTCAGAGGTGCTTGTTCGATTGGTGAATATGCGTCTACAATCGAAAGACAACTGTGGCGATGGCAAACGCGTGCCTGCAGTATTATTCTGACCAAGATTGGCTGCCAGCTAACTAGAGTTCGGTCAAAAGGCTGCCTGATGACGAGCGCCACTCCATTCACATGTTTCGATCCGCAAGAATGCGCAGCGACAGCGTCTTCAGCAGGATAGAACTGCTGCTCGTAAGACCAGCTTCGGAGATGCCTGTCAGGAAGATGTCACTGCCATCCGGTGTTCAGACAATAGTGGCCACGTAGCCTGGCTTATTGAGGGTAAGAACATTCCTGGTGGCCATCCGAAGTGGCGACCACAGATTCTGTGTAGTTATATTCAGAGCAGAGGAAATCGGAATGCAGCCGTCTCCGGTCGAGTGATGAACTACTACAGCGGGCTTTGGATTGCACTCGTAAAGGCACCCTGACCGGATACTATCAAAACACTGGCAGGAACTTTGACCCTGGTGCGAGAAGTTGTATTCCTTATACTTTCTTCGGTGCCCCAATATGTTCTATCCTCTTGGGGCTGGGTGGAAAAAAGCACTGTTAGAAGGTTTAGCGAAGCCGCTGACACGCTACACAGCGCTCATCGGCTTATGGACGTATCAGTGCTCATCCGCCTATGCCGATACACTCTACTGCCAGATTATCCCTCTGTGGTCTTCTCTCCTTATCGCAGGAGATGGGTGTCATAACCGATTGAAATGTCAGCAACTTGTTTTCGCTTTTTTTGTGCCTGATTATATAACCTGCATGACCTGCTCAATTCCTGGAAATAGTGATATGCTGGCACTGTTCCAAGATTCCTAGAATGTGGGTTAGCTGGCAGAGTTATCAAATAAAGCACGAACAACGGTCACAAGCGAATCGTCCAGATTCAGACGTCGGTTCGAGCTTTGTCGGAAGAACTCAGCCGTTGACGGGCAGATATTGCGTCCAACATGGAAATGCTGATGTCAAAGAAGAGCTCCCACCAGGCGATGGGACAGAACAGCTTCCAACTAACTGCCCCTGTGACGACAATTTGGACTACTGTAATGTAGAAAGCAGGAGCAGCGAAAGGACTGGACTGCACAGATGAGTAATAACCGCAACAACGTAATCCCATAATCGTCACACGAAAATGCAAACCTTCAAACTGACACTTGTGGTTGTGATGAAAGTTTCAGAATGTGCTCACAGAGAGCCTTCAATTGACATATAACGTGAGGTATCAGATAAAATATTCCGCATAAATGACCACCTGCAAACTATTACTCCAACTCTGCACTGGGTCCGACAAACTTCCGTTCAGTGGTTCTATCAGCCGGACGGGGTTCTACTAGAACTCCAACGCCAGCCTGAGCGCTGGTCGTGATGTCCACACCTGAGTAGAATGGTTTCCACCAGTAGAGGTTCTGGATTCCAAAGCCTTGGCCTTTGGTTGAAGAGACTCTCTATATGTCGTGTTGGTACCTCGCGGCCTCATCTAGCCTCTGCTCTCTCCCTTTCAGTGAAGATATGTTCCAATTTCCGAGTGTAAGCTTCAACTGTCAGTATCGTTCCCGTTGAGCCTTATTTGATGTGCTATAATGGCACTGTGATGTCTGTCTCCTCCATTCAGCACGGGTAGCGGGTCCACTGCTGATTAGTATATCGCCATCATTTTGTCGATCTTTGGCAGCCGCTGTCGTATTGCTACGCGCGCGGCTGTCAGAAGACGACGAACAGATTCTGATCGCGGATTTTTCAGAGTCTGCTTCAGCCCTCTAACAGACTGCTCGGCTCTTGGTAACCCGGGCTACAAGCGAACCTTTATAATGTCCGATGACGGCAATACCACGAGGGGCAGGTGAATAAGTTTTGCTGAGATTTCGCCACGGACTCTAACCTTCCCCGTTTCTAACCCGAGCTTGGGACCGGCAACGGCGGAGTTCTGTTGATGACATTCAAAATATGTATAAGATCGTTATTTATTTTGCTCATTAAATTTGATCGTTTTAGTGATGCCAGTACTCGTAACCTAAAATGGCTTTCCAGCGAACAAGCGCTTGCCGATACCGCGTATTTCATTGAGTTTATGAACCGGCTCTATGACTTGGTAGAACCGAAGTGGGTGTTATTTGGAGGTTCATATGCAGGTAAAATTGATAAATACGAAATGATGAGTTGAGCACATTTTGCACTGTTCATAGGTAATCTGGTAGCATGGTTCAGGCTGAAGTATCCACACCTGGCGATTGGTGCAGTAGCAAGTAGCGCTCCGGTTGAAGCGAAGATTAACTTCTGGGGTAACGTCTAGTAAATAAAAATAAGTTTCTAACGAACTTTTTTCTGTGCCTTAGAGTACCTTCAAGTGGTCAGAAATTCGCTTGCCTCATACAGCGAGGAATGCGTGCGAAATATTCATTCAGCGACAGAAATCATCGAAGAACGAATTAGGAATCGTGATCGCATACCAGAACTTCAGAATATGTTTAAGTAACAGCTGCCGCTTATATTAACTATATGAAATTCTTTGCGTTTGCAACAGTACAAATATTATGCTTAGAGTATGTGGTAATTCCAATTTTTCTAATCCGCTGGATCTCAGAGTATTCTTCGCTGATCTGTTCTTCAACTTCGCGGGCGTTGTTCAATACAGCGAGGTCAACGCGGTAAGTTTTTGCGTATCTTTGTTTATTAATGGTAAATGACGGCACGGTGAGTAGAAAGTGTCAGTGCAGCTTACACTAAACGTGCTAAATGATTTTGCAATTTGAAAATGCCACCTAGCGAAAAAATAAGAGAATGTTTCATTATGTTTTAGACAGCTACTTTATAATGAAAGTCATGTGATATGACATCATGCGCAACAATCAACGACTTGCTTCTCATTTTTCAGTTGGTTGCACCAAAGTAATATAAAGTAAATGCGTCTTGGCGGAAAGCAGAGATTGTCCTGCTTACGGATTCGAATCGGGCACACCCGAAGTTCGAAGCCGACCGTCTTGCCCCTGTGCCTCTGAGCACGTACAAGTTTCAGGATAATGCAGGAATATAATTTGCTCGAAGTCGTGAATAGTGTGATACGACAACAACTGGAACAATCGGTCAGCCGACAACCTTTAAACGTAGAAACAATATCTCCGCACTTTCATTTTCCCGGAAATTCTTCGAGGCTTAGATATTATGAAATAGGGCACGAAGCTAACCTGCCATTCGTGTTCCTTCATGCCATATCTTCTTTGAAGGAAATTGGTCCGTGGTATGGGCCTTCTTTACCTTGATGAGAAGCACGGCCTTATGGAATTCCAGTTCCGTGGGCGGATTTGAATAACTTCTATCGTTAGCAGATAATGAATTATTGGCCAGTCAAACAGGCTTCCGGATGTGGTATCCCTGTCTGACCAAATTTTCACTCTACGCATTGAACGATGCCACCGATTTCAGTTACTTTCCTTTGCCAGTTTTCTCGACTTTAACACTGCGTTTGACTCATCACGTCATCTGGTGACGTGTAAAATCTTGAAATACTGTAGAATATCTGAGTACGTCATTTTTACTGTTGAACAGACGTATGCAGGAACCATGTCTGTTCTCATGGTGAAAGGAGAGTTATCCGAGTAGTTCCAAGTCAACTGTGAAGTTCGTCAAATTTCGCACCACCCAACTTACTTTCGTTTTCGCCATTCAGTGTTATTCTCGTCTTTCTTCTCCGAAATAGAACTGAATCTGGCAAAAGCAAAAGCAAAGCAAAAGTTTCGTTCTGTAGACAAGGCGCACTTAAAACAATGCGCTTAGACATACTGGTCTGCTGGAGTGCACATATGATATTTTCTTGGTGAATAGAACGGGTAGCGAGCTCTGTTATCTGAGCGCGTCTTTAAACAACACGGCTGCGAAAACCGGTATCTTCCTCAACAACCGGAAGTCAAAGGTTATGAGGAGTCCATCCGGTATAGTCATCTACACTTGGAACAGGGAGGTGAAAGCACCTCAGGAGATTGACAAATTTGAATATCTCACCTCTATCATCTCCATCGATGGCACCGTACAGTTAGATGAACACGAGGGTGACCCCAGCCTCATGTGTTTTTGGGAACTTGTCAAATAACTGATCTGAGAGTGGAGTAACTCAGTCAAAACTCTGCTCCAAGAAAACTCTGCCTCTACCTTGCCCATGTCAGATTAAAGTTAATTAAGAACAAGAGCTGCGCTAGGTACAGTTGCCGTAATTTCTCCGCATAATGAAGGTTAATTGGCAGAACCATATATTGAACGACTTTATTGCCTTCCAAGCACCTGTTACCTCTGTAGATATGAAGATTAAGAAAGGGAAATTAATACTAGAAAGCAAATTGATTCAGCATTAATAATTTGTTCCAGCTCCTGAAATTGTCATGTGCAAACCAAAACACGGCAGAAGTCGACCAGGAGGTCAACATGCAATATGGAGGAAAAAGGCAGAGGCAGGTCCACTTTTAGAGAAGCATATATCCTTAGCGCCCGGTGCCGTATAGCAAAATTACTAAAAAACTGCAGACACAACGAAGATTATAAACCAGAGATGACTTGCTCATGCAAACCACTTAAAATGGTGACATCAAGAAACGCCCACCACAGGCATTGACGGTGTGCAATGACGAATCTGAATGACAGGTGTTAATCATCTGTTAAAATTTTCAGTCCATCTTTTTCTGTGCATTTCTTTTGATATGTCACTAGGACACCCTAAACGTTTTGAATGAGAACAGGTCGAGTTCTCAGCTTGCCAAACAACTATCTACTCCTCTGAACACTTTGTGCTTATCATTTTTTAACTACCTTATCAGTCTTCATTTCCCTTGCTTATCGAAGGTACTCAGTCTCACCTGTAGCTCCTTAACTAGAAAGCGAATGGTTGCCTTCGATTGTGTAGTGGGGCGGTGTAAATATTCCATTTTAAGGTTCCTCTGTATTTTTACAGTTATAAAATTATCCAAAACCAAGGCAGCTTGCATCTTCTCCGCATTCCCCGGATACGTTTTTTTGCAAAAGAAATGACACCTTCGCTGAAGTATTTGTTAGCTTCATCTACTTTGCCACTTCCTGACTGGACACAGAGACGAATCTCTGCCTCCGTTTGGTAAACCGATTGTGCCGCGTTATTATACTATAATCTTTCATCATCGTCATCATCTGATTTTTTTCAAGTAGACGATATTGATGCGACACGGTTAATCTTAAACGAAATTCCGCTAATACATATGGTTATCAGACCCAATGCAAGCGTGCCTCCTGACCTGAGTTTCGCGTAACGACCTGCGCAATTCGTGTCTGATAATTGCCCGTTTGGACGTTGGGACTTCTACTGAGGAACGCCCAGACGCTTTGGCGAAATTGCTTTTAGGAGAATGGAATCCCGTCGATGATGATGCTTTTTGTCGCCCAAAAACTTAACAGTCGTCTGCTGTTGTCACACTTCCTGTCAGTCCCATAGCGTCTTCGGGCGCCTGAGAATGTGTTCTACTTAGCATCTACTGCCACGTTCAGGTTGTCCGTGACGACTGTGAGGTCAAAATCCTTGCAGATGACTGTAAGGAGTCATAGAAAGCGTTTTCATTGTTTTCACACGGCATATTTGTCAGGGCATATGTGATATTCAACGCCGTCTAATAGACACTTACGCAACATAGAGATTCCTCCATCATAACTGTTCCACATAAATGGCGATACAGTACCCCCAGAAACAGAACAATACGCCATGCCGGCATGGCTTAATCTACCTAGCCTGAACGCAAAAATGACTACCCATCCTGAGTGTCAGACGTTCCCTTGCCAAGGAAGAGAGTTTCCGCGTCCGCCAGTAAGTCGAGTTTGTACCAACGAGCTGTACGGCAGGCATCGTCCAACTCTTGTCTTGACCAGACAACGTGCAATTACTCGTTACAGTGTTAATAACCAGTAGAGGGGATGTTTTTCGCACTGGGTGCATCCCAGTTATCAGCAGTTTGCGGTGTACTGAACAGATGACTAACTCTATCCATATGTTTAGGGAAAATTTGCAAATGTGCTTACTATTCCAAAAATTTGCGACCTTGTGAACGCTGAATCACACGATGACGTTTTGAAAGCGTATGCTTCTGCGAACGTGTATGTACTGGAGAATACCAATTCCAGGTGCCTTGGCGGGAGCTACACTTCTTTCATTAATGGTCTTCGCTATTATGGAACGACTGAGGATATTTCGTGTGAGTAACTATTGAATACATTAACTTCTTTGTTTCTTGTCGGTCGAAACATTGCTTATGTTGTAATGAATGATAAGTTTTATTGCATTGGCGTTGTAATCATAGAATGAGCAAGTATGCTACCTCGAAATCTACATATACCCTTCATCATAACGAAATATTACAATTACGAAACGATTATAACGAAGTCGTTTCTGGTGATTTTGTAAGAGGCGCAGGTCTTATCTGTAATTGTTCTAGATGGTTTCCAAGCAAAATAAATGATTAACTTTGAAAAGATTATTCTGCTGACTGAGTCATAATTAAATATATCAAAATGCATTGCAGTCGTAAAGCGTATGTATCAGATGATATGAATATAAGTCTCTCAAGATCAGGAATGAGCATACCTGAACACCATACTGTAATCGTTTGTTTATTTTAAGGGCAAATTATTATTGAACTTTAATCATACTCATTGGACGTGCTATTCTTTAATCAGCTATCAGGTGTGTCAAAGCGAATTACAGCCGTAAAGCGTTCGCATCAGACAGGTCTGCAGAAGACTTGCACGTACGGGCATAATCATGCCGGTACACCATAATCATGCCGGTACACCATTCTTTGCAGGTCAGTTACTTGCTGCTGGTCTTTCGTGTGGTTTCACCGAAGCGCAGTCGGATGAATTTCCTGCTCATGGAATTAGCAGTAAAAATAAAAACATTCTACGCCGCACTGTGCCTCGAACTCGACACATCCAAACTGTCAGACCAATTTACCATCCACTGCATAACCGTTTGCACATCATCAACTTGCTCTACGTTTCTCGGCTAAGTACAGCATTGCATAGTGTGATAAATTTTAATCTAGAGAGCTGTCAACTAAGAAATCAAAAGCTTGAATTTATACTGCAACTTTAACCGCACAGCTGAACGATTGCGATTGCATGGCGTTACTGCTCCAATATTTCCCACTTAATGTCTGAAAGTACACAAAATAAGATTTCCAAGAATACATATGATCACTTTATTGTGTACTTTGTATGTTTTGTCCCATTCAAGTTAGCAACACGCGGTAAAAGAAAATTTCCAGATGACGAAGGTATGACTATTCTGAAAATTAAAGCTGTTTCTAAAAGAGTCAATTAGGTTTGAGAAGATTGACATTAAATTTATTTACTTTATTGAAATTTAAAAGAATACCGCATTTGTAGCCACCAGTGTTGTCACATGTAGCCAATTGACAAAGTGCAATATTTGTATATATTTATGAAAGGTTTACTGATATATTTCAGATCGTTTATGGTATTACCAAACGTGCACTGAGTTTGGCTATTACCAAACTTCCGATTTGAACGAAGATAACCCTTTCTCTAGAAGATTTGATTTAAAGTATTAATGAATCGATGAATTTATCGTCAATCGAGTAACCGCCATATTTAGCTATTTCCTTGGGATTTGTCGAGATGTCTTTGGAGAAAAGTTTGGAAATTCCATGGTTGCAAAAGCCGTAGAGGAAACCAACATAAGAAACGGAGCGAAAAACTTAAAGGTATGGATTCGCCGAACAAGTAATTGAGACAAGTTTTGGTTTCTTAAGTGAACAGTCCGCCAGCAAAAAGTACCTTCCAGTACTTAGGTTAAGAACAAGTTTTTCGCTGCATGTTCACGGAATTTCCTGTATGGTTCATGTTGTCAAGTGGGTACCTGTCAACTGTTGAAATCCTGTATTGAGCTGTAACGAAATGATGTTGATGACGGGATTCTAATTAATTGATTCGTTTCTTTGTCGAACGTTTTTTTAAAGAAAGGTTTGCGTTATTCACTCGCCATTCCATTTACTGGGTAAGTTCTAACAGACTACCTCTCAACGAAAAGCAGTAGATGTAAATTTCGTCGTATTCTCATCAGCCTCTTTCGATCTATTACTGTTGGATAAAGGCCTCTCCTAAATTTTGCTGTAAACTTCTGTTTTCTGGAATATTTATCCATTTTGAT